ATGAAAATAGTGAATTCGTGAAGACCAAGGTTCCAAAGAACTTCAGAAGATGCACAAACGCCAATGGTCACAATGTTCCCGATGTCCCCACCTAGAAAGCCTAACGCAGCTATTCGAGCAAGTCTTCTGGTCAGGGTTTTCATACCCTCTCATACCAGGACTTTATTTGACCACCCTAGACCTATTTCCATACAACACCTGCCTCGGATGAATTTTTCGACCGGATTTTTTTTAATTTAACGTTCCTGACAGTAAACAACACTCGCTGTGGCAATCTATTTGGTTACCTATGCAACACATGTCCCAACCACTGTAATCTCTGGAGGTCGACCACTTGCTCCCATGGGTAACCAGGATTACCGGTGTCCGTTGAGTCTTTCGATAGCTGGTTGATTAGAGAGGCGCTCGGAGAGCCCCGCTTCTAAAGTTTATTCGCAACTATCGTTCACACTGTAATGTAGGAATCCGTTTTCGATGGCGTTTTTGTCATTGATTACCAGGCCTAGGGAGAATCTAGCCCGTAGAAATGCGTGGTCCGCATCCACAGGTGTTGGCCAGTAAGAACGATAATCTGCGATGAATCATTGTCAGTGGTAGCTAATGGCGATGTGGTCGACTTGGCCCCATCGCTGGGAACAGGTCGGGGGTTTCCATGTGAAGCTGTTTTTTTGTGTGTGAGAGAAGTTGATACTCGATAGAAACAATCCGTAGTCCGCGTAAAGTTCAATAAGGCTATCTCCATTTTTATTCCGGTTGATTGGGATTGTGCGCAAGCCACCTAGGCATCCTTATGATCTGTCCAGGTATCCGACTTGAGCATTGAAGCCTCCAGGGACTAATACGATGTCTATTACCCGAGTAATTTAAAGCAGCTGAGAGAGATTCATGTAGAATTCGTCTTTAATTTCAGGTGTACTTCAATTGGTCGGGGCATATACCGATACGACGAACAAGCATCGACGTTTCGTTCTGTAGTCGCTGACCCATACTGAACTTTCGAGACGCACAACACAATCGGCTACTGACTAGAATTCAGTCAAGAAACGAGCGCACACCATTGGCACTTAGGTATTTAAAGCTTTCGACCGATTCCATTGGTTCGCCGTTTAGTTGTAAAGCGCCTTCGAGATGGATTGGGACTGTCGCAAATGTTTTCGTTTTTGATGTGTTCACCTCTATGCCGCTCTCGAAGGCCTGTCGACGGCGGTGGCCCGGTGATCTGCTCACCAGATTAACACCCTGAGGGTGTGTGTTCGAATCCCACCACCACCACCACCCGACTTTCCCCGTTGTGTGTTGGATGGCCTCTTCCCCCTTCCTGAAAATTGTATCTTTGTATATTCAATAAAAGGAATTGAAATGGAAAAAAAGATGCAGTCAACGATTTCCTGGAGATCCGACCTATCTTCTCCAAGGACAATGATGCCATCAATCAACTCTAAATCAGTGAGTCAGAAGTTCGAAGAAATCCTAAATCTCTGGTATCCTTTCGCGAACCGAACAATTACTCAGTTAACCGCAAAGTTGAACAGCATTGGGGACAGTAGGCACCCTGTCGTACTCCAGACCTTAACTCAAACGCGGGTGACTCCTGGCTGTGTAATCGGATTTGGACACCTAGGGTTGGAGTTGTAGAATCGCATGATGTTAACAAGCTTAACTGGGACACTATCGGCCAATGCTATATTCCAGAGCGATTCGTGACCGGTGGAGTCGAATGCCGCACGAGGATCTATGGAGGAGACTGCTTCTCTTGCTGTTGAAAATTGCGGCGATATTCCAAGAGGCGACGTAAAGTGAATAGTTGTTCAACGCAGCCCATTCCAGGGCGGAGTCCCCTTAAGTTAAGCCGGATGCGCGCTTATTTTGTTTCAGCACAGCCGCTTAGCCAAAGCTGTGTATAGCCCCTGGCTGCAACAGCAAGTAAACTGGTGCCTTTTTAGTTTTTGCACACTGAATTGTCCCAGTTTTTAAAGAGATGGTGAAATCGATATGTTCTAGTCTGCTGGATAAGTTTCAGTTTCCCAAGTTGCACATCGAAGGCAAGAAAGAAAAAAAGACAGGGTTTCCTTATCTCTCCGTTTCTCTTTAACTTTGCTGTAGATGATGTTCTGCAAAACGCGTTACGTAACGTAACGAACACTGTCCTGGAGCTTCTCCCTGGAGACAGAATGGTAGACTTCGAATGTGAAAATATCAGTGCTATCGGTATGGCTTCGTAGCTCAGCTGGTAGGGCGTGTGCGTACAAAGCGTAGGCGGCGTCCATGCGTGGGTTCGAATCCCACCGAGGCTACTGAACGTTTCACAATCGACATAGAGACCTAGAGTCTGCGGATGATATTGCTTTACTCGGTGACAACGCATCAACAATTCAAGAGTCGTTAAATCGTTTGGCAATTGAGGTTACTCTGTAGGGTATTTCCTTTGCACCTTCAAAGTTCAGTGTTGTTGCAAGATTGGCTGGAACCCATTCCTGCACTTTCGTTGGGTAATGACACTCTGGGGGTAGTCGAAAGCTCTGTCTCCCTTCGAAATCGCATAACGGCTGGCGGAGGTATGGGCGAGGAGATCTCTCAACGTGCGATCAAAGCTAGATTAGCGTTTACTAA